ATAAACTAATTATCTCCAGGCCTCTTCAGGAATACACACTTATATTTATCAGATGAGGATTTGAAGTTTAAATTTTGAAAAAAAAAAGAACAAAATTTTTGTTGATATGACTGATAAAATGTTTCATGGTATTATTAAAATACAGCATTTGACGTACGTTATTGGTACATTCATGATTGAATTGGCTTTTGCTTGTTGAACAGTTGTAGTTTCAAGTTGTTAAGTTGATACACACCAACAGTAAACAAATATTAGTAATTATAATATTGGTAAATATTAAGCTATTCTTTAAGTACTTTTATAGTAGCAGAAAAATACACTTAATCATAAAGAAGATTAAATGAACTCACATGTTTCTTCTTTAATGATAAAATATCAAGTGAGTTTCATTCAATGAAACATTGTGACATTAAATTGTATATTGAAATTGAAATAATTTATATTTGGAAATACTTTTTTTTCTTTTGTAGAACGATTATGAACCATTCTGATTATGATCAGCTGACTCATAAAATAACTACAAGATGTTTGTTTCTCCCAAATGACACATTTCAAATGAAGTTATCAGCTTTTAGCATTTAATAAACCGATATGTTAGACAAAGTATGAAAAAACAGAGTACAAATCATTGACTCCATGTTGTGAATGAACAGTTCTGTTGATTATGTATGATATAAGGTTTTGATGTAAAACATAAGTAATCTGTTGAAAATCAAAAGTTGATCAGTTTTGTTATTCAAAGGAAAAACCATTTAAATGATATAGATCAATGCAATTAACCCGCTAATGGGGTAAATTTTAATTATTTACGCTTCATTCTGTTAAATTATTTTCTGAGTTTTCCTTTCATAAAAACTCTGTAGTCAGTAAATTCTTATACATTTAACCTTAGCCGAATCCATCTAACTATCAGGATTAATGTATTCTGTGTACTAACACTAAACTGTTCTTAAAATGTTTAAACCGTAAGTTTACTACTAATGTTTTAATCAAACGTAAAAATAACTTCACTCAAAATTCTAAGTAGAATTAGGCTCAATTTCATAACACGTTTGTGCACCAACTCCAAAGGATGTTTTTCATTCTGACAAATTTGCTTAATTATCAGATAACCGAATTTAATTACCCGATTAATAAATTTTCTTATTCAACATACGTTTATTTTTTCAATGTTATTCACTGACTTTAAAGTGTATATTTGTTCTGTTGTCATAATTACAAAGTGTGTAACAGAACAAGCCGGTATTTTATCTTAGCTCAATTGATTACCACTTATTCACAATGATTTTTTTATTATCTAAAATTGAGATGTTCCGTTTAAATCTCCAAGCTGAATATTTTTGAACTAACCTATTCTATTTAGGAAAGTTATACTGTCTGGTTATAATTGACTGCTGAATAAATCTTCATTGAGACAATTGGTAAAACAACCATGTACCCAAAATTTTATCGGATGTTATGAAGAAATCCCATATTCAAAGAGTAAAAATTAAAGATATTCTGAAAAAGTGATAGAAAATCCAATTCTTTCGTTTACCTTTTTTAACATTTCAGTAGTATTCTCGAACACGCTAATGATCAGTCAATTTATTTTAATCAAATTCTTATGTTTAGAAAAAAAGAATTCACCTTTATAAATGAGCTTTAGTCAGATCTTTGGTGTCATATGTAATAAATGTGTTGAGTAAACTGAGCTGATTTATACATATTCGTGTATAGAACACATTACACACCTTGTTTACCAAATTGAAACTACATCATTAATTCTGCCTAAAACTTTGCGAGGTTCATTTTATAAAGCAGTTTATTCCTATGAAGTCAGTAACGTTGTTTGCTGAAATCCGGAGAATTATACAAAAACCAAGGACATAAATGAGAAAGTTATTATAACTGAAAAGGAAATTAGTGTAGGGACAATGACAATTCATGAACTGTTAGCGAAATTCGATTAAATAAAACATTTCAATAGCTTTCCAGATTTAGAATTCATGTTCTTTAATCTTGTTTATTTTTAATGTTTACGAAAATTCTTTGAAATCAACACTACCATTGTTATTGATATACATGGAAGAAAAGCACTTTTTCATATTTTCCCGTGTGTATTTTCCTCCACGTAATCTGAAATATACATGTACTTCTTGTAAATAAATACGTCCATTGAGACTTATGTCGATTGTATCAAGCAATCCACGCAGTTCTTCATCCATGAAGTGAAAAACGGGGATAAGAGGTAAATCATATCGAACATATGTTATAGTTACATACTGTTAATGTGCTCTGCTAGCTCTTATGGAAACGGACTACCTCTCTATGAGTTTGGAAATCGCTTAGAATCAACTATGCGAGATTATGTTCTATGGTGGTTGACAGTGAAATTTGAAAATGTTCACTAAATAACTAATTATTTCTAGCTCTTCACTCTTTTATAATCATCACTGTTGTAGAATATTTTCTTACATGAGGTATACATTTGCAGATTTTATTTAGCCCCTTAAATTTACCAACATCCTTACTATATTATACTGACGTGTGATCACAAGAAGTTTCAATTCCATTCATTTCCGGTGAATATTTTCAATATATCTCATGATTATGATTTTTAAACATTGGAGGTTGTGTAAACAGCTGAGGAGAACCTAATGAAATACATTCAAGTCATGTTATTTCGCTCAGGTCTTACTCTCCTTCAATAAAAATTGGAACGAATTGTTTGAAATCGACGGAAATAGGCCAATTACCAGCGACTTACTAGGACAATTGAATTATTTGAAAATCTAAGATATCTGAAACAGTATCCATTTAAAAGGGAACGAGTAAAAGAGCGAGTGAAAAAAGGCGAGCAATAATAAGGGTCACCATCAAAAAGGTGTGCATTAATAAATGTGACTATCAATAGGTAGCATATTAATAAAGCTTGCTAGACAATTTCAGGTTACAGAAAATGTAAAGGTCATAGACGTGATAACGACTAAGTATTTGCGGTGAAAATGTAATGATATATAAAATAAACTTATATATTTTGACAGAATAATGAGAAGATGGAGTTGATCTGAAAAATGTGATGTATTTAAACCCTACATTTCGAACAATATGATCACACATATACTTGTCATGGAATTTTTTATTGTAATTAATAAAGGTCAGTTAAATGGAGGTTCAAGTGGAGATTGTATTATTTTCACAGTTGAATTCACGAGTCGATCTAAGCTAAACCACCATTGAACATCTGGGAGGACTGGTCAGACGTTTCGCCCTAATACGTGACTCCTCAGCCGTATGCGTCCATGATCCCTCACGCGGGACTCGAACACAGGACCCTCGGTCTCGCGCGAGAACGCTTAATTTCTAGACCACTGAGCTGGCATCTAACAGTGTTAATTTATAACTTGAACCAATCCACGATATTACGTGACCGTCCACCATTGTCTTCACAAAAGACACGGTTGAAATCCACTGGCCACAGCTTTTCACTAGAACTCCAGCAAATTAATTTTGAAGCCAGTCGTTAGTGAGCTTACGAGTCTAAAGGTCCCGGGTTTGAATCCCGCGAGAGGGATCGTGGATGCGCACTGTTGAGGAGTCCTATACTAGGACGAGACAGCCGTCCAGAGCTTCCAGGTCTGACATTCATCCATTCATGATATTAATTTAAATAATCCACTTAACGAGTCTTCTCTTTCTCATTTGTCAACCAACCAGATGATAGAGCAGTTTTTGTCTTTCTCTGCCCAAGCAGTTAGTCTCAATTCGAACTTACTCATTTCTAGCCTCAAGGTTAAGTTAGTTAGCCTACCGATCAGGGACTCAATCTTGATCGATGCGAGTTCTCTTTTTTATATCGTTGTGTAGACAGATGAAGGGTGTAACACCCTTTTGCACTGATTACCCTTATTAATATGTGTCCTTTTGAAAGTCGCTCTTATTAATACCAGTCTTTGTTAACGTGTGTCATTTATATCCGCGTCTTTTTCATCTGTTCTCTTGATAGTCACTCTCTCGCCAGCGCCCATATTAGTTTGAACCTTTGGAATAATCCTAACTGGAAAGCTAGAATCCAGTTATAACTAATAAGTATATATAAGTGTGTTTCTAATGTAAGAGAAGCTGTGGCTCTAAAGTGTGTTACGAAATATTCGATTTCTAATCCATATAACTGTCATGTTTAAATCTCATAAACTGATTTGTTCTCATAAACGTTCTGCTACGACTACAATGAGAAATCTAAGAGATATATGCAGTGATTACTGGGTATCAGAAATAATTGGGCTTTGGGTGGGAAACTCGGCAAATAAAGTCAACTTGGTTGACCCCATGAAAACACACTCGTCGCTCTCAACTTATTAATAACGTGATCCGTGTTTCAAAGACATTCAATAACATAAACGCTACTTTGAATGACTAGGTATTCCTTGGCTTGTCTTCAAGCTTAAATGTGATCAAACCAGGCTCAAGTCGTATATGTGATTCAAACAGACGATCAAAGGCGGAAACTTATTTGCTTATTTGTCAAAAATTCAAACAGAATCTCTTTATTTGCGGGCTTAGTAAAACTTTTGGCATATACAATTGCAACATAGTAACTATGCTCAGATCGATGCAATGAAAGTGATATTCATGTTATTGAGCAGACCAAAATTTCTTGAAGCATCGACTAACTAATAACAGATTCTAATGAAGTATTTCCAAGGCACAAGAAATTTTCTAAACTAGAAACTTTGATACGTCTAGGACTGTGGATTGTTTCTTTCATTATTTCGAGAACATGAATATATCTCATCTTTTTACACGGTAAAATTATAATTTGTCTAAGTAATACTTTGAAATTTTTTGAATGTTATCCTCTGTATATTGTGTAATTAAACGTTTACACCCATCACTTCTTAAAGAAAACAAAAGAATATGTTAAAAATGTCTGTATATATTATATTAAGTAGATAACAGTTTTTTAAAAAAAACGTAATTAAAAATCTGGATTTTATGTATATAAGACTTCGTATTATTTATCGTGGCTTTAGATGACACACTTTGGAAATATCTAAATTTCCTGATAAAGCTTTAGTCAGTTCTTCCAAACTAATTTGACCGTCCGAGTTGTCATCAATTTTGCTAACGAATTCCCTAACCTCCTTATTGTTATATTTAGTAGAATTTGACTTTAGATAAGCCTTAATTTCTTTTTGTGATACAAGACCATTATGATTCTTATCAAGTTTTCCGAATAAATCACTAATGTCAGCAATTCTAAAAAGAAAGATCAGAAAAAAGAATCACTTAGACTACGTAATTGGATGAAACAATCAAAAAATATCGATAACAAATTGATTTGCGATTAGAATTTTTGTTCAGTAGACAATATCTTAGTCCAACCTTAGGAAGATAAAACTGTAAATTGTTAGTGATGAAAATAGCGAAAGATGGTAGGAAGCACGGCAGTATGATTTTTAGAGTCCTTCTTGATGAACAACAGGCATCGGATACGTTACAAAATCACGCTCAGATAACCTCAGTGAACTTGAAGGTAATGGTGGCTGAAAACTTGCATAAAAAGGATCGAAAACACAAAAATTTCAATGACCTAGTTATCGAATATGATAAATACTCATCACATGCTTTTGAAAAGCATGTAGTTGAGACGGATCATATAAATAATCTTAACTCACCCTTTATAGTATAGATGTGGTCTAGGTTGAATACTCACATTCATTGAAGCTGTATGCATGAAAAACTTCAAGTCTTTTTGTGTATCCCCCAGTAAGTTGTATATTTATTAAACCTAACCCATTAGTATCAATTGATTTCAGAGTGATGTGATTTATACTGTTCTTGTTTATATTCGTTTTTTCCTATGTTCTCATTTACCTACTTTGACCTTTATTTTTTATAATGTCTTGAGTTAATGAGTGGTCAGAATGCACGAAATGTATTGCGCTAATTGAATCATTACATTAACCTGAGAACGCGTGAAAATAGTTTTGGATACGTAACGTAAGCGTATTCAGTTCACTTATTTGTAGACACTTGTCACCTTAGCTTTTAGCACGTTGCGAACTGTGACTTCAGAAGACGCACTCAGAAACATCTAACTTAATCATCATTCATTTGGCTTAAATAGATGTTCCTCGTTGTAAAGTGAATCAGCTTGTATTTATTCAATATCCCTTCTCACAAGATTATTAGAAGTTAGCGAAAACTATACAGTCTCTTTCTAATAGACTGATCATTTTTAAATAGAAAAAAGGTAGCATAGTAAGTTGTTTTTCAGGCCAAAGCAAATATGAGATAATTATTCTTCTGGGTAAGCAAGTTTGATCAAAGTAGTCCTGGATACTGTTTCAAGAGGTAAGTTATTTTATGTACCGTCCAGAGAAACAAAACAAGAAAGGTTGTTTAAGTTTTTTTCAGTTCCGAAACGATTCATGGCTCAACTAACAAATAGATATTCAATGGTAAGGATAAGATGACTCATACATTCAAATTATTCCTTATGTGGTTAAAACCTCTACAATTGTTAATCTAATCGATGATATCTATCTTTAAATAGAATTATGTTAGCATACAATTTGTGCTCCATATTGACAGTAAGGATCGTGACATATCTAGTGTCTCACATCAATGTTAACTTCAGAAAGTGATTTCAAATGCGTAAATAACAATCGCAAAGGAAATAAAATAAAAATAAGTAAACGTCAAAACGTACGACATTGGACTTGAGAAAAGACTGTTCATTGCCTCGTATTAAGTTGAAAGCACCCAATAATACTACTATTTCTAATCACTGTTAACTATTTATACACCAATTCAACCAGCTGAGTGACGAGTGGGTTTGTATAAATCGTACTCTTTATCTAATTTCTAAAAATCTCAGTACATAAATTTGTTTACTTAATGGATTTTTATTCAAAAGATAATTTAAAATCTCGATAAGAAATGAATAAAGAGAAAATGTGATTTTGCATGAGGTAGTCACAATACTGGTGAAACATGAGACCTGAAGCATTGATATGCTTTTTAAGTACAAAAATTATAGTCTGTAGGTTATTTGCTTTACTAACTGATATCTGTTCGGGTTACAGTGAACACCAAGAAGGACTAGACCGCTATTCTGTCATCCTATGAGCTCCGCAGCAGTGGAATCGCAACCCAACTATGGATCAAACCCAAAGACATTTTGTCACATGGCAAATGTTTAAACTTTAGACCAATGAGTTAGAATCCAACGGTTTGTGTTTACAACTTGAATCAATTCTCATTACTGTACGACAATCATCCTCTCTGATGTTAGACCATGACAAAATCCAACTACTAGTAAAACTATTCTCCATATAACATCTTAATTGTAATATAGGTGAATGCTCGCTAGTGAACCATAATATTTCTAGCACATTCAATGAGTGTCTTATTTTATCACATATATGACGCACTACTGCAGGAGTTCGATGGTATTTAATGTAATTATATAACAAACAAGATATACCCACTTATTTTTAATTCAATGTAAAAATCTTTGTCAGTTTCATTAATTTAATACAATCAATGAAACTCATGAGTAACTTAACCACTAAATCACACTACGTCAATTTGTAAAACGACAACTCTCTTATTTCAGTTCTTAATGTGTGAATTTAATATTTCATTGTACAGTGCACTAGATAATTCAAGGTCTCATAAGTTTGATATTGTAAGCGAACCAGTTCGACGTTGCAACGATTAATTATACACTACTTACAAAATATTAACATTTAACTAACAGAACACAGTGATCTGAATATTACAGCTGGAAAATTTCTTTGCTCGAATTTGAGACAACTAGCTTTAACGCCTAAATGATACGAGAACAATCAATATTTGACAATAGTTAGATTACGTAAATACCAAATTCATTACATTTTGATATGTTAATCATGCATAGTTCTTTAATTTAGTTTGAAATGTTTCAAGTGTTGTAATTAATTATTATTTTCGATACATCGTTTTAAAAATAGGTTATTCTTCATTTACACAGACCAAATATCCTTATTCAAGTTGGGTGCAAACTATATCTTTGATCTATAACACTAGTCTCCTGGATTGAACTAACAAGATAGTACATCACAAGTGAGTCAAAAAATATTTTGTTTTGTTTGAAAAGCCAAAATATTTTGACGAAACAAATTTATTATTACGTTAATACTAAAGGCATTTTCATTTAATAATTTTAGTAAATCTATAAAAATTGTTGATTAAATATTTGAAATTAGACGACAACCAAATATTCATCTTCGTATTGTCCTGAAGTCTGTAGTACAGGATCTTCTTTGTGATGAAAATGCTTTCATAAATTCATGCAAACTTAATTGACCATCTCCACTTTCGTCAATCTTATGAATGAACTCTTTGACTTGTTTAGCTGTGACTTTCGCATCGTGTGCTCTTAAATAACTTCTTAGTTCTTTAGCAGTCACGTATCCGTTGTGATTCTTATCCATATGGTCAAACATAGTGCGTATTTCTTGTTCTCTGTATATATAATAGAGAGACAAAACTGAAGTTAAATATTCTGCATTATATATTACAACATATAAAAACGTTTGTGACGAATCAAAATTATTCTGTTTAGAATAAACAGCAATATAACTAAAAGTAAACGAAATACTTTACTTTCCATAAAAGTTTACGTCTCTATATGTAAACAACATGATACATGTGGTCATTATGTCTACACAATGTCTACTAGAATAATTTCAAATCTTATTAATGTTGTTAAATGTTCTTAAAACTACTACTAACATATGTGTTTTAAAGTATAATGCTTGTATTTAAGCGCTTAGTTATTGTTAAAGAGTACTTGAAATAATGTAGTTTGAATTCTTTAGAAAATTTCTACAACTATAATTGTAAATCTCTTATGACGAAATGATTTGTGTTGTGCCAAAAGACTATTATTGGTCAGATTATATTACAGGAGTCAAACATTTGTATTCTCCCAATGTCGTCTCTCCCATTGTAGAACTGACATATATGTAAGAGGTTTATAGTGAATAACATTTCAATGTATTGATTCTCATCTGTTTCGAGTAGGACAAACTACAATATTTATAAGAAGTGTTCTCATTCTGATTATTCAAATCGCTGTCGTTTATCCCATGAAACCCAAGTTATATCAATATATCAAAGAATTTCTTGTAAACCTATCTTTTTAGAAATCAAATTAAGACAGATATTTATCATTTTTGATTTGCAACAAAGTATTGCTAAAGATGAAAATTTCCTATCAGAGGATTTATCTATAAATTGTTTTCTATTTCCCAGTTATAAAATAAACCGAGGATGCAAAAAAACAACAGTAGCTCTTTTCATGTACAGCTAACCAGCTATAAGTTTGACATTAATTACCAATCACCGCCACTGTATTCAAGATTTGTGTTCATACAATAAAATCGTGAAAATACATGTTATTTACTTCACAAATTACATGCATCCTTTTATTCTAAATGTACTTCTAACATTAAGTGAATTGTAGAAATGTATTTTAAGCTTATCTCAACCAATTAACTTTTCATCTAGTAAAATTCAACTGAAAATAACAAATCCATTTAATTATTTAAATTTAAAAGGTTAATAAGGATACCTTAAATGGGACAAGGGTATTTTGCATAACGATTATCTTTTAAAATAATCTTAAAAAAAATTGGTACTCTGAAACGATGGACAAAACTAGTTGAAACCAAATTCAAACATTATTATGTTGAAATGTTCAATATGTAAACATATAGCCAAAATATAAAAAAAATAAATAGGAAATCAAAATTATGGCTTATACAAATTAAGGACTATGGTACAAAAGCATCTTTTATCACGTACTTATGTGGTCCAGTTAGAAAAATGATATTTCAGTAAAACCATTCAAAAATAATGTTCTGTAGTAATAGTTATAAAAAATAAGGGTGGAGAAAATAGACTGTTTATTAAGAGTCGGTTTTTCATATATTTCCCTTTTTTTAATGCCTAAATATAAAGTAAATTAACACAGTCGCTAATATCCTACGTTTGAGAAAATTTATAAGAATGATGTATGATGAAGCAATTTAACTCCATAACACAATTAGATAAAAATTAGTGATAACTCAATGGTTTAGCTATATTTTGTCACTGAATCCTCCTACCTTCTGTTAATCTCAAAAATTAAATATGTACATGGTTATCAAAAGTCTCTAAGGCTTAACAACTATTCTAAGAATGTTAAAGTTATTTTATGGATATGAAGTTAATTAGTAGTCATTATCGAAAATAATTTTAAAAACGAAACAACTTAAGGTTGTACGATTGTACAGCTTGATAATCAATCCGTTGTAAAGAGATCCCTTCGCTGAACCTCGTGTTTTTAACTTAAGGTTAGATCATTTGAGGTTGGAGATAAACAACATTTGGTTTGCATCATCGAATTAGATTACTCAAACATTCATGTAAATGAGTGTAAACAACTTTGTATTACACCAACACTAACAGAACAGTTATTAATTTTTAAAAAAAAACATTTCAACATACGTCAGCTGACGATCCATTTTTGCACACGTTTTCTTCTTGAAAAATAAAGAGGAATTGTGTGAATTTTATACACGAAGATAGACAACTCGTATTTATAGCTCACACATACTCTAAACGTGACTATCTTTTATTGGTGTTTACATAAAGTGAAATTATATTCACGCTAATTGTTTACTATCATATGTGTTTGGTATAATGACTCATTTAAATCACTAAAGTGATGTAAATAATATTTTACTTAAGTTTTGATGAAAGCGAAAGTAATTACAGTATTGTAGTTCTATTTCTTGTTTCATTTTTATATAATCGGTTGTTCCACATCTTTTGTAACTGGATTATTGACCAACGCCTTTGTTTAAAAGTGCAAGAGCATTAGTTTCAATAGATAGTTATCAGTTGTTTGGCCAAACTTATTGTTTAGGATGGAATTTCAGTAAACTTTAAATATCATGGGCTGAAACTCACATGAGATATAAACATAAGTGCTGATTTTCTATATTTAAGGAAGTAAATATTATCTTGAGTAGCTTACTGGATAAAGTCATTACGGTATTGCATCAGTTATGTAGAATATACTACTTTATGATTAGTTCAAATAATCAGTTACTTATAACTTACAAATTTTATTTGGAATTAACTCCACTACTGTACATTTTTGTGAACGCTATTTTACATAAATGAAATATTTCTGTTCACTTTTTACAGCCTCTGTCATTTTCTGTTTATTACAAGTAGATAACCCTATTCAGCTAAAGAAATATTCTCTATTACTTTTCTACAGAATAAAAGAACAGGATAGAAGTTGAGGCGATCAGTAAAAAATGTAACTGTTAATCATCAATCTGTTTCAAAAATGACTTCTAGAGGGAATTCTAATGCATTTACATTAAACAAAATGTTAGTTTGCCAACACTTAATTTACTTTACTCTCGGAGGTCTACATTATTAAACCATTAAGTGACAAAAATAAAGAATATTAAAGATTCCCATTGTGAAAATTAGAACAACACATATAAGCGAACAATTGTTTTCAATTAGATCGTCATCAGGCTTTACTCTAATATACATGAATATTTATACGAAAATGTTAAACCAATCAAGGCAATATGAGTCAATAATCACAATGAAATAAAATAAGTCTCTAGGTAAAAGTACAAGTTGATAGTAGGAAGACAGGTGAACTGATAATAGTGAGAATAATA